GCCGGATCTTCCCAGTGCAGATTCTGCGAAGCACGGTTCTTGCTAGGGTTCGTGTTAGCAACAATGTCGGTTTGAGCACCGCGAGCTCACCTACTAGTTCGATGAATCTAGAATAGCCCCAGAGACGGTAACAGTACTCCATATAAGGCTGAACTCATGCTTCGCTTTGTTGAGAACTCCCAACACTTTAAAAGCCAACTTGGACCTTAATAATCCCAAATCTCCTAATAAATGATAGTCGACTTGTTCGACTTCTTAGGCCATCAAAGATGTGAATAATTTATCCGGCGGCTTCCGAAACTTCCAAAGTACTTCATCGAAATTAACGTGCTTAAGTTTGTATAAATGATTGGAACAACGAGGACAGGGCAGACTCGTCGGTCGTGAGTCGGACTCGGCGCGGCGCACTCGCAGCGCAGAGTAGGTCGGTCGAGTCGCAGCCAGGTGGGCGGGGCCGCGCCGTTTGGTAAACAACTAAATTCACATTCGTTGTATAACATGACGTGGCAACGCACCTTGTTTTAATTTCCTTTGCAATCATAATTTGTTGTGAAATTATTATTTAATTTATGAAAAGGGAGCATAGCATGATTGTTACGAAGATCAGCATCAATGTGACTTTAGGGACCTTCATCATTTGACTTAAGCGAAAGAATAAAGCAGACCTCACTTAACTCTACGGTATACCTATAGTAATATATCAAGATATTTACGTACCAAACTGTAGTTTAATATACATAAAGTTAGTCATATTGTTATTAACATTTTATTACTATTTTGGAAGTAAGTACAAAGAGAAGATTTTCCAATGAGCGGGGAGTAATTGCTCAGTGGGCCAGCGCCGGCGCCCGCGCCGCGGCGGTCCCCATATTCGGAACGTATATGTACCTACTTATTCAAGGTGTACGTGAAAATATGGTTAGTGAGATTCAGGCATCTGTTAAATATCTTATGTTTTTCTATCTTTAAAAAAAACAGTACCTGCTACAAAACAATCAATATATGCGCCCCTGGTATTGATTTCTTTTTTCCTAGCTAAGTTGATGGTCTAGGGGACCATTCAGCGTCACCGAGCTAGTAGGTGAGCTCACAGGGCTCAAACCTGACGATGTTGCTAACACGAACGTATCGAACGAATGTGATCGTCAGGTTTGAGCCCCATATGAACCCCAGCAAGAGCCGTGCTTCGCAGAATCTACTACCGGATCGGAAACGCGACCCACTGAGAAGATCCGGCGAGAAACTCAGTGGGCCGGTATTGATGCCTCTTGCCAGCGTACTGCTAATTTTTCAATGCCGTTCTTCAAGTTGTCTAACCTAATGATTGCGTTGGATTATGGAAAACGTCCAACCCTATCTCTTGTAACTTAGATAGCACCTGTTGCGCCGTAAGAGGTCGAGCCTAGTCGTGTAGGTGCAGAGGGGACAAGCCATTAACCAAGGCTGTCAACATAATTATATATATTGTGATGATATTGTATTGTTCAAATTAATTTTCTATATAAGTCTAATTTCCGTTTGTCTGAGCAACATATTTCAGGGTACCACTCTAGTCTGCTCCTGCAGGATGCACGCAAGACATATCATCAATGCATATCATTTATTTATTTCAAAGAGGACACAATAACAACTAGGAAACAGAAAGCAAATTAAAAGTCCTCATCAATGAAACAAGTTCAATTATTAGAAAAACAAAAAATGATAAAAAGCAAGAACGCGTATAAAAGTAAAAGAAAAACTAAATGTAGCCACCAGTCACTTGTATAGAAATGTCACAGAAATGTCTTACTGGTGGTAGGACCTCTTGTGAGTCCGCACGGGTAGGTACCACCACCTTGCCTAATTCTGCCGTGAAGCAGTAATGCGTTTTGGTTTGAAGGGCGGGGCAGCCATTGTAACTATACTCATACCTTAGAACTTATATCTCAAGGCGTGTAGTGCATTTACGTTGTAGATGTCTATGGGCTCCAGTAACGACTTAACACCAGGTGGGCTGTGAGCTCATTCACCCATCAAGCAATAATAAAAAGTATGTGGGAGTGCCCTAGTAAACGACCACTGCAATGAGACGTGCGGCTTACTCCTCTTTGGAGGACGGGCCGGCGCAAGCAGGCAGCGGCTCTACATCTGCCATCCCTGTCCATCTGCATTGTGCCGCAACACCCCGCTGGACCAGGACCACTTTCATATAAAATGTATTAAAGCATTATTTAATATGAACACGCACTTGACCGAACACTGTTAGGAAAAGACAAGAAGGAAGCTAAGTAAAGAGCGAGATAGCTACATTTTAGAATGACAGATGTCGAATGTGTTTTAGAATTGGTTTGACATCTCACAACCAGCTTATCGGGTCAGAACGCGATACATCGCCAACTAATTGCTCTTTCTTGATCTCAACTCTCCGGCTGCACGGCATGCTGGTACTGGTGGCATGCACACGATCTCGACCACTCCGCTCCCCCCGACCACAGCTGCTGTGGTGGCACTCTCTTGTTGACTCCCTTCGAAGCAAGTGTCCAGTCAGCACCTGCGTGGGCCGGAAACTGAGATGTCTTCGTTCACAGTGGACTCAGGTCGCGAGCATCGAGCGACTATTCACACTCTTAAGCTGTTGCTTTAAAAAAAAAACACCAGTGCTCAGACGATCGTGCGACCCACTTGACGGTCATTAACCGTAGATATTAATTGACCTCAGCCGTACCAGAGGCACACAAGCTACTGTCTGCCGCGAAGCCCCAACTCTCGTTTGGAGAGCATATCATGGCACTCAGGAATCCCTCCGCGAATTTCAATTCAGAACCGGACGATACGCCAGAGAGCTACACCAAAATGAAAATACTGAGCAAAACAAAAATAGAAAGACAAAAATAAAATAACATAGACGGTATGATGACGTGGCGCCTCCTCCTCCGATGACGACAAGTGGCGTGTGTAATATTGACACTCACTAGACAACACCGAGTCTCACCAGATTAATCTAGAGGCAAATACTAGGGGTTAAAGTATGAAATTTCCGTTTTATTGTAATAGGTACTTCGAATTCACATAGAACTTTCATGGTTTGAGATTTTTGAGTGCAACTATTTTCAAATGGTACCTATGAGGTTATTCTTTTAAAAAATATGCAACATTCTATTATCGACTTCCAGATGGTTTTTGAAGTGAAAACTTCTTTAGAATCGTTGTGATTTCAAACCGGATGCAACGGAAAAAACGACAGGTAAGAGACACAAATACAAAAATGTGTAGGATGAAGCCAGCAAAGAATGAGACAGAAATATACATACTATTTAATACATCGCCATCTGTAAGATTTTTTAATACTAACGTGTGTATGAAAGCTCTTGTAGTGAATTTTAATTTAGGATTATACGTGAAATTAAAATATCAATTCACAGAGGGCGCTACCTTACAATTATTTACTAATGACAAAATTTTACATACACTTAAGACGTTTAGGATAATTGTATTTTAATTTTGGAAGGTTTCACTTCTACCACGTGTGAATTGCACACATGTATTTTTTTTTATTCAGCTTAGTCAAGAAAGATGAATACTTTGAAAATTCGAGTGATTTTTGAATACGAGTTCCGACGCGGAACTAACGCTGCAGAAACAGCTCGCAATATCAATGTAGCGTTCGGAGAGGGGACTGCTAATGAAGGCGCCGTGCGATTTTGGTTTAAACGCTTTCGTGACGGAAATTTTGATTAGAAGAATGAACCACGTGGAAGGCCGCCCACACATGTGAATAACATGAATTGAAAGAGATGGTGGAAGCCGATCCAAGCCAAATTACCCAGGAGTTAGCGGCATGGTTTAACGTTACCTTACCAACAATGATGACTCATCGGATCGAATTGTGACATGTGATGAAAAGTGGATTCTTTACGATAACCGTAATTGAAAAATGCAATAGCTGACCCCAGGTCAAACGCCGCAACAGTGTCCTAAAGTAAAGCTTCAAACAATAACGGCACATGTCTACTGTGCCAAACTCCAAGCAGTGATAGCAAAACTTCGAGTGAAACAGCCCCGACTCATAAATCATAATAATCATAAATTATTGCTCCATGATAACGCGAGACCTCATACAGCACGAGAAACCGTTTTAACTCTACAGGAAATGCAATTAGAAACCATTAGTCACCCTCCGTATTTGCCAGACCTTGCTCCAGCGGACTACCATTTCTTTCGTGATTTGGATAATTTTCTACGTGATAAAATGCTTTCACACAGCTTGTAGAATCTAGATCACCAGAGTTCTATCGCAAAGGCATAAATAACCTTCCTATTAGATGGCAGCAATGTATAGATAATAATAGTAGATATTTTGATAAAATAAATGTGTTAAATGAAAAAAAAAAACTATTTTTTAGTACAAATCGATAATTTCATACTTGAACCCCATAATACATGGTGCAAACGATTAATTCAGTGTCGACGTCTCGTGACGATTCACCCCCGGCCGATGCGGGGTCACGTCTTGTGCCTGGACCAGTAATGGACACATCACCAATGTACGCTCCTCGCCCGGCACACACCGCGCCTGCGATGCAACAAGCTTAGGGGGACGCGCGGACGTGTCCTCGACGTTGACGATGCAAATGTCGTACATTTATTTTCAATTTATAACTTTTTCATCAAACTGTTTTATCAAGAATTTCGTTCCTTATGATGAACAACTATAATGAAAACAATTTGTTAGCACAAGAGCACACTCGATATACCTACTCGCGCTCTTGTAGTCACCTGACATACTCCAAAATTACCTAGAAATTATATATGTTGTTCCCTGAGAGAGAGCAGCATACGGTACTCATGAAGTCACTCGTTTCTGCCGCCCATGGACATCAGCAACGAACACACAGTCGAAATGTGCGCAGTAAGTACAGACTAGGGTATAGTGTAGTGTTGTATCCCTGGGGGCCAGTAGTGATGTGAGTACCGGGTGAGTGCGAGTGAGGCGGCGCGCGATGCGCCATAGATAACACAGTTCGTATCAGTGTGGTCCCGGGCCGCGGTGTGCGTTGTCGTGTGTGCGTGGACACATAGAGGCGCACAACAGTTCACGACGCGATCAAAACAAGCTGATTACGAAATACGTACGTGTTTACGATAGATAATGTACTCGTAGTGCTTCCAGCGACTTTCATTACAAAATATAACCAGACTCGAACCTCGCGGTGCGCTGTCCCTGACATCGTGCCGTAACTTCCACGTATAAACATTTAGTGAAAGAACTTTGGGACCGTCTATGGTTAATATTCGTATAATTTATAATAATATTCATAATATACACATTCGTGCGAACAACAACAAGTGATAGTGTGGTGTGACAGAGGCCCGTGGACTGTCGTCGAGTATCCTCACTATTCGCCACTCGTTTGTTTATTTACAATACAGAAGAGTCAACAAGTTCGTGAGCCGCCGCCGCGCCACCGCGCCGACCTGCGTCGCAACAATATGAGTTCAAACGAACTAGCTATTGAAAAGACTTGAAACAGGCCAGAGCTTAACAGTAAGCGACTTACTTACATTACTGCGTTTTAATTATTATTCAATGTTAATAAATATCGATCGAATACAAATAGAAAGTACCTAGTTGGTCCGAGAGCAGATTACGACGTATATAACTAGTCAGGTCATAAGTATTGTCACACAGTAAAAACTCTTCTTTTAGAATGCTGGCCACAAAAAAGTTTATTGAATTCGAGTTTCGAATTGTTCATGAAAATAAAAATGTATACTTTTAGAATTTTACTCATTTTTAAATACGGAGTGGACGCTTAAAGAAGACCGTGTTGCAGTTATTGCGTTGCATCGTTGCGGTTACGCGCCAATTAAAATTTTTAACATACTGAAAAATTTGAATATAACCAAAAGATTCGTTTATCGTACCATCAAACGATACGATGAAGACTCTAGTGTAGATGACAGGTCAAGAAGTGGTCGCCCTCGGTCTGTTAGGACTCCAGCAGTGATAAAGCTGTGAAGGCGCGAATTCAAAGAAATCCCAAACGTAAGCAGAAACTGTTGGCCCTTCAGATGGGGTTAAGCAGAACCACGGTGAAAAGGGTGTTAAATGAAGACTTAGGGCTTCGGGCATATCGAAGAAAAACAGGACATCGTTTGAATGCTCGTTTAATGGACCTGAGACTGAAGAGATGCCGCGCTTTGTTGAAGCGGTACGCGGGAGAAAAATATCGGGAAATTCTTTTTTCGGATGAAAAATTTTTTACCGTAGAAGAGAGCTACAACAAACAAAATGATAAGGTGTACGCACACAGTAGTGAAGAAGTGAGCAACCGTATTCCGCGTGTCCAACGAGGTCATTTTCCATCTTCGCTCATGGTACATTTTTGTGAGAAAGGTGTAAAAACGAATGCAGTTGTGTATCAAAATACAGTCCTGACGAACCTTGTGGAACCTGTTTCTCATACCATGTTCAATAACAGGCACTGGGTATTCCAACAAGATTCGGCGCCAGCTCATAGAGCGAAGAGCACACACGACTGGCTGGCGGCGCGTGAAATCGACTTCATCCGGCACGAAGACTGGCCCTCCTCCAGTCCAGATTTGAATCCGTTAGATTACAAGATATGGCAACACTTGGAGGAAAAAGCGTGCTCAAAGCCTCATCCCAATTTGGAGTCACTCAAGATATCCTTGATTAAGGCAGCCGCCGATATTGGCATGGACCTCGTTCGTGCTGCGATAGACGACTGGCCGCGCAGATCTCTATCATCATAAGAATCTATGTTTTGTTAAGTTCATTTTGGTATATGAATGGTTACATAATGAATAAACTTGTTTCAATTATTTTACATTAAACATGTGACAGAATTTATGACCTGACTAGGTACACTATTCATAAACACAATAAATCTCAGTGATTGTTTTCATTTGTTTGCTGAGATCCGAATTCTCATTGTTGTTATCATTTTGATTCCCTTTTTATAGTATTGTTTTCGCGACTGCAGATATCATTCAAACTATTATTTCGACGTTTCGAATACTCTGCAGGTCTCGTGGTCACGCCCAAACAACTGTAAAGTAATCCCAATGTCGGAAATAGTATGATGAAAAAATATACGCGAGATTAAGCTGTGACTGTTGACTGGTGCTAGAACTGCTAGAGACTCCTATGAGCCTGTAAGGCAGGTTCCCCCAACTTGCCTATTTCTGCCGTGAAGCAGGAATGCGTTTCGGCTTGAAGAGTGAAGCAGCCGTTGTACTGTAAACATGAGACTAAGAACTGATGTCTCGAGGTGGCTGGCAGCATTTGTGTTATCGATGTCTATGGATTCACGTAATCACTTAACCCCAGGTGGGACATGAGCCCTTCCACCCATCTAAGTAATAAAAATAAATGACAGAATTCCATTCACTTAACTAATTCTCTTCACTTAACTCATTCAAGATGAATCTGACAGATAACTAACTACCCGTGCGATCTCACAAAACATCCTACCACCAGTAATTACGCAAAATTTGTTAAGAACCTATTTCATTAGCAAAATTGCGACCTGCCTGCGGGATTCGAACAACGTTCCGTTGCATCGCGTGGTACGACTGAATCGGGCGCTTTATCCTTTAAGCCACGACGACTTCAAACTAAACTACAATAATTTATATTAATTCTTAATTAAATTATGATGTAATGTAATGTAAAAATTAAAAAAAATATGGCGTCTATTAACGGTCTAGAACAACTCCCACAGTTCGGTAATGACGGCTGCTCTGTGCAGGAGACGAGGGAGTCGCGCCGGGATGTAGCGCTCGCCACAGATGAAGTAAGTATCACAACGCTTCCTTTAGCTTGCAAAGCTTTAGAATATTTCTCTTGGCATCTAAAAACATAGATTTGAAGAATTAAAAAATTGCACCTCTTGTAAGAAATAAGTTTCTGTAAACATAGAATTAATTATTTTAAAGCCTGAAAATTGTACATTATCTAAGGACAAATATGTAGGAATCATATTCCGTTGCATCCGTCGACAGCGGGAAGTTCTGCAATATAACAACATTTCAACGAGAGTTTGATAAGAAGATAACTAAATTCAATCTCACTATTTGTTATCAATACAATCTATACTAATACTATAAATGCGAAAGTAGCTCTGTGTGTTTGTTTGTCTGTCGCGCTTTCACTCCAACATTACTGAACCGATTTAAATGAAATGGTACGCAGATAGTCTAGAGTCTGAGAAAGGACATAGGTTACATTTTAATGTGAAAAAAGGATTATAAAGGATTAAAAGGGGGATGAAAAGTTGTATGAAAGTATCGTCTAAAAGCTTGAAACTAATTTTTTTGGCTGTGGATTCGATATAAATAAATATGACACTAATTTTATACATCAGAATAACACACAGGCTGAAATGTGAATTACCCAAAATATAAAGATAAGTATAAAGTAAGTGTTAGTGTAAGAAGGAAAAAATTATGGTATCTGCGAGCTGTTTTTGCGTGCGCTCCGCAAAAACCGTTGGGTTTACAGGTATATAATGTAAAATGGAAATCTTTATCTCAAATGGTGCTACAAAAAAGCCCATGACAGCATATATCTATCTTTTATTTGTAATTTGCGTTATCACCAAAATAGTGAACCATTAATATAATAAGAGGAAAGACAAGATTTTTTGTTTGTTGTGTTCTTTTATTGTGTTTTTTACTGTCAGGACCAGATTTGTATAATAGAATATTCAATAAGAGTATCAATAATAAATTACAGTTCCAAAGCGAGGCGAGGGCGGCCCGCTATTCTATACTAATATTATAAAGAGGAAAGATTTGTTTGTTTGTTTGTTTCGAATAGGCTCCGAAACTACTGGACCGATTTGAAAAATTCTTTTTCCATTAGAAGCCGACATTGTCCCTGATGAACATAGGCTACTTTTTTTTTTTTTTTTTGGTTTCATGTGTGTTTTAATGTTTCCGAAGCGAAGCTAGGGCAGGTCGCTAGTCTTATATAAAAACATTAGATTCGTCAGTGGTCTGCGATCGAGCAGAGAGATAATCGTGATCGGTTCGGTGAAATCAAATGACGACAACGATACAGAAGAAGTTTCAAAACCTTTTTTTAACTATTTTCCAGTGGCTCAATATAAATACAATATTCGGGATTCCAAGCGACCGAGCCATATTCCAATTCCAAGAGGTGGAGAGCGGACAGCCTTTAAATCAGTTACCAACTACCTATAAGCGTGAAACCTAACGTTTTATAAAGCTAATTAAAATAAGGCTGTAGGAATCCAGGGGAGTGCGAATCAAACTAATATAATAATAATAAGCCTTTATTGCTGTTAAAAATTTACAATGCTTATATCCAAATATTATATATATATTTTAATGCTAGGAAACAGCTTATCTCTCGACATAGGCCTCCTCTAATATTTTCCACAAGGTCCTGTCCTTTGACTTTCTCAGCCACTCTCCGCCAGCTATTCTTTTGAAATCATCTTCCCATCTTTGATTTTTTCTGCCTTTACTTCTATGGCCATCTCTTGGGTACCATTCCGTTACATTCTTTGTCCACTTGTCTTGTGTCTCTCTTAACATATGTCCTGCCCATCTCCACTTTTGAATTTTATGAACCTTTTCGACGCTTTTTAATTTTGTTATATTTTTAACGTATGTTAGTCTAATTTTATCTTTTCTCTTAATTCCAGTGATACTTCTTTCTATATTGTTCTGACATATGTTTATTTTATTTAATTGTTTTTTTGTTAATGCCCAGTTTTGGCATCCATAAATCAGGCATGGTAGAATGCACGTATTATATACTTTTCGTTTGTCTTTCATAGGCATATCTTTATTTTTCATTATTTCACTGAGGGACCAGCATCTCTTCCAAGTATTGGCTATTCTCCGATCGATCTCTTTTTGCATAGTGTCACTTGGCGATATTAACTGCCCCAGGTAAACATACTCTTCCACATATCCGATTTTTTCATTGTTAACGGTGATATTATAGGTCTTCGTAGAATTGGTAATAATTTTGGTCTTAGAGGTATTCATCGATAGCCCTGCTTTTGCACTTTGATCTGACAGTTCTTGTAGCATATGCTGCAGTTTTTCTGGGCATTCAGAAAAGAGGACCAGATCGTCCGCAAATCTTAAGTGGTTGAGATTTTCACCGTTTATGTTAATGCCATTTTTTTCCCAATTTATATTCCGGAATATGTTCTCCAAAACAGCCGTAAATAGCTTAGGCGATATAGGGTCTCCTTGACGAACCCCTCGTTCTATTGGGAATTGTCTACCAATCTTTTCAAGCCGCACTTGTGCTACACTTCCACAATATATGTTTTGAAGAATTTTTATGAATTTGGCCTCCACTCCTTGACTCTGTAGTGCTTGCCAAATATATGAATGTTCTAGAGAATCGGCTTTATTAAAATCAACGAATCCTATATAAAAGGATTTATTGTATTCTTTGTATTTTTGTATGATTTGTCTTACAACGTGTATGTGATCTATCGTTGAAAATTTGCTTCTAAAGCCGGCTTGTTCCTTTGGTTGGTTTTCATCAAGTGTAGTTGTAATTCGCGAGAGTATAATTTTAGAAAATACTTTATACACATTGNACGAATCCTATATAAAAGGATTTATTGTATTCTTTGTATTTTTGTATGATTTGTCTTACAACGTGTATGTGATCTATCGTTGAAAATTTGCTTCTAAAGCCGGCTTGTTCCTTTGGTTGGTTTTCATCAAGTGTAGTTGTAATTCGCGAGAGTATAATTTTAGAAAATACTTTATACACATTGGACATCAAACTAATTGGGCGATAATTCCCAATGTCTCCTTTGTCTCCCTTTTGGTGTAATAAAATTATAGTTGATTTTGTCCAATCGGTGGGTATATCTTCAGTCTCAATAATTTCATTAAATAGTTCAGTCAATATCGGGGCAATGGTCGATGCAACCGATTTTAGTAGTTCGTTGGCTATTTGGTCAGATCCAGGAGTTTTGTCTATTTTTCGAGAATTGATTGCTTTCATGTTTCCTCCGTCAAAATTGTAGGTTTGATATTAGTTCCTACAGATTCTAGTTCATTTATTTGAGCTCTTCCACTCTTGTTGCTTTTATATAGTTTCTTGTAATAATCTGTAGCCAACTCCAATATTTCTGGTCGTTTACAAGTGTAGTTATTTTTGTCAGTCTTTACTTTTGGCATCCAGTCCTTTTTTACTGTTAGTTCTTTTATAGCCTTTTTAATTCCACCTGTCTTCTCTATGTGTTTTTTCATAGTGCTGTCCCGTTTAATTTTTCTATCTTTTCTAATTTGTTCATTTATCTTCTTACTAATTTCTGATATTTTATATTTATCCTCCTTTCCTTTAATGAGGTTTTTCCTTTCTTGAAGTAGTTCCTGTGTTTGTTTTGAAATCGCTCTATTATCTTCTGTATTAGTCTTTCTTGTCGCTTCTTTTAATATTTGTATGAACTTATTGTATTTTTCTTCAATAGATAAATCTTTATTCAAGTGTTGGTTCTTTGCCAATAATTTGAGATTAGCTGAGAGTGCTTCGCTTTCTCCCGTACACACTACCCTTGAATTATTGTTATGATACTTCCTTGTCCTTTTCATAGGTTTCCCAGTCAATACAGCACGGACCATTTTATGATCAGAGTGGAAATTTAAGTTGTGGATAATTGACACATCCTTGAAAAACTTAGGATTATTTGACATGACAAAATCGATTTCGTTTTTATGAATGTCATTTGGGGATGTTCATGTCCATTTTTTGTTTTCCTTCTTTTTGAAAAAACTTATAAGAATACTGAGTTTATGTTGTAAGGCAAAAGTCACTAATCTCTCTCCGTTATTAGTTCTTTTGCATGAGCCATACAGTCCTATAGTGTATTCTTCTCCAATGTTATTGCGCTTTCCTATCTGACCGTTAAAATCTCCCATGACAATTATATTTTTATGCGAATTTTCAATGGTAAGATGTAAATCTTCATAGAATTTTTCTATTTTACTTATGTCATCTTTCGTGTTTGATTCTGTTGGAGAATAAGCTTGAATTATAGACAATTTTTCAGCATTTTTGACTGGTAACTCAATGTTTAAAACTGCTATTCGCTCTGAGACACCTTTGATTTCTCCTATTTTCTCGGTAAGTCCTTTTTTTACAAGAAAGCCGACTCCGTAGAGCCCTGGGGTCTCGCCTTTATAGTGTAAAATAAAGTAAAAAAATATATTCTTCAATTCCTTCTCCATATCTTCTCATTTCACTTATTCCTATTATATCCCATTTTATATCTGATAAAGTTAATTCAAGTTCTTGAAGTTTTTCAGGAGTTCTTAATGATCTTGCGTTAAAAGTGGCTATGTGTATATCTAAAAATCTCTTCTTTTCCATTAGAGGGTGTTGGTCATTCTCCCCCACGAAGACCAATCGGCTTGGGAGAGTTGTTTTTGTTTCTATTGTTTTTCTTTTATATTCATGTGTTAGTTCCTTTTTCCGTCCGTCGATAATTCGTTGCTATTGTTTTTGACCTGTCGTCAATGTTGTGAAAGAGTTAGATCGACCTCTCATCAAATCGAATGCATTCGTTCTGTTATTCTTGGCTGAAGTTGAAGTTTGAACTTTTTTGGATTGAGAGTTTGTTTGTGGCGAAATTAAGAGTTCTCTCTTCCTCGAGTCCTTGGCGTATTTATTTTCTTTAATTATTAGTTTATCATATTTTAAATAGGCGAAATTACCTTTTCTCCGTTCTTCCATGAGTTGTGGTAGTAAAGCCTTACGTTTTTCTAAGGTTTCTTTAGAGTAATCTTCCGT